AAGCAAATCCAATAAGAAAAGCAGGCTGAAATCAGATTCATCGGCCTCTATGGCGCAAAACCAGTTAACAAGTATACTTGTGTTGGAGGCAATCAAAGGCAATGGCGGGAATAGGGCAGGTGTCGGGGACCAAATATTGGTCTTGAAAATTGTAGCCAAATTGATTTATATAAAAAAGTAGTTTACGGGTCATCAATAAATGACGTCACGCTTTTTTTGATGATTTTTACCTCCCCCCCCTCCCCTCCGTCACACGTCGTCACAAAAAGTCAGACCCCCCCCTAAAATGACGTCACACCTCAACCTACAACCCCCCTCAAAATTGCAGTTGAATTTTTTTAAAACATCGATATTTTTCCAAAATCTTGTCTAAACTATTACAATTTATTAAAAGAGTTATCTAAAACGCGAAATAACGTCTAAAATTCGTTTTCTAACATTGCTTTTTTATAATGCAAAAGTGTGACGTCGCAACATCTGAACCCCTCCCCTCCCCCTCATCACACATCGTCACAAAATTACGGACCCCCCCCCCCCTCCCCCCTACGAGTGTGACGTCATTTATGTATGACCCCTTATTTATAATACTATATTTTTTATACCATTGCCATAGCTGAGTTCTCTTTCCCCTACCATCGAACACACTCTATCGCCGGCAAAGTTATTTTAAAAAAAACAAAGTGCATTGCTCAAATCAGAATTAGTTTACATATAGTATTTGTTAAATCTAATTCACAAAGCAAGGAAGGTAAGACAATTTTTTATATTATTTAGAAATGTTTATTCATTAGTAAATCAAAATAATAAACATTATTTTTTATTGATTTAGTATTAATTAAGAGCCAAACATGATATATCCAGGGGCATTTTTTTTCTGATTTCGCTACTGGTTTTAGTGGTTAGTTGGGGGGGGGGGACTCAGAGGGAACACAGCGATAGTTTTTAGATGTCTTAAAAAATACATAATTAATTATTATATATACAAATGTAGAAATAGAGTCAAATAGTACCAGTGGTATTGTGACGATACAATGTGGTTTTTTTTTTACACAGAGAACCGTAAAGGGGGTGGGGGTGGACGGGGGTGTGTGGTTATAAGCCCCCTGACCCCCCAACCACCACTCCCGCCAACGCAGTTGTGTGTGTGTGTTCGCATATAAATGTTGCAAACAAAAACTTATTTGATGAAGTTAATATTGAAAACAAAATCATTACTATTTAAGATTGTATACAATGTTTTGATTTAGAAATTTCTTTTGATATGATAGAAAACATCATTAATCGGTAATATAACAACGATAATCTGTCGGTGGAGCGTTTGAAGAAAAAGACTTTGTACTGCGACAGATGGTATGTTGCGTACATACATTTTTTTTCTCGTATACAGAGTATAGAGAAAGTATTGTAACCGTGCACAAAAATTACTTGAAATTTTGACAGTTTTCATCGTTTTACATCTCAGTCCTTCATCTTATCTAGAGTATAGAGGACTTATTTTAATCGGGCAAAAATTATAAATTAAAATTTATCAAAATTTTGTTGTTTTATGCGTAATCGAATCTGAAAAATGAGCTTTGTAATTCTGTCCGTATGTCTCTGTGTGGGTGTATGAGTGCGTGTGTTTCTGTAAACACGATAGTTTGAGTACCGTTACAGCTAGGATGAAATTTCATTTATAAGTATTACATAAAAGTCGTAGATCCGCATCAACTTTTGATCAATTTCCAATAACTAAAAGTTGAACTTTCAACTTTAATTTTTTCAAAAGCTTATTACTTGAGTACTATTTCAGACAGATACATGAAATTTCACACGTCAGTAAAAGATCTAATTCTCTGCCTTATGTCAAATTTTGAGTAACTTCCGTTCACCAAATGTACTAATAATATTACGCTTTATTATACAATATTGTTTTGCGTTCACTTGGTTTGCGATATATATATATATATATATATATATATATATATATAATATAATCTATAAATTTATAGATTTTATATGTATATAGTATATATGTGTGTGTATACCGTAAATCGAGTTGCCTTGCTGCAACTTGAACACTTAAACACTAACACACACACATATTATTTTAAGATAAATTATAATCCTAAAGTAACCTACTTTATTGTTATAAAGCAAAGATTTAAATGAAGTATGTAAGGCCTGAAAATGATCAGAAAGGGAACTTAAAAAGTTATAACTGTATGTGTTTTGCTCAGTAACTTTTAAAAACAGTTTTTAACACGCTGTCGACTCTGCCTACCCGCCAGATATAATTTGGCAGATCATATTTAAAGTTATTTTACTCCGTAAAAAAGGAAAAAAAAAGTCCAATTTTACTTTAAATTAACTTTATCATAATCTAACCAATTCCATTTCTATAAATATATGTGTGTATTATATATAATCTATACATACATATATATATATATATATATATATATATATATATATATATATATATATATATATATATATATATATATAAATATATATACATATAAATATTTATTTAAAATAAATAATTTTTAAATATTTTTATTACCTAACTTCTTTTGAAACAGCAACTTGCTCTATTATTTAACAATAAAACAATAATAATTCATTTTTAATCCATTGAAGTAAGAGGCTTTGTCTTGCGTCAGCTTTAGGTTGTGTATCCACAAACAACATTGGAAATGGCCACAAACAAACATCTAACTTGGGTTTATTTAGTCAATATGTTAACGATTTTTCAGGTGCAGAACAGGCGTAGATATCGCGTGGGTTATAATCCTGAGGTTAATACTTTTGCGTGGGATGTTACCAGTGGCGTAGCTAGGACTTTCAGGCCCTATGCAAAAATCAATGGGCCCCTTCGTATTTTTTTCTCCAGTGGTGGGGGGGGGGGGGGCACTTGAAATTTTCAGGGAGGGGATGGGCGTACACTTTTCGCCTACTAGAATCGCAAGGTTTACGCTGGATTATTGAGTAGATAACCTTTATCACGTAGAAAAGAAACTAACTGCAGTAAAGTTTGTATTGTGTAAGTTTTAAAAAGAGTTGTTGTCGTTCAAACCCGCTGCACTAACTCTGTCGAACATGGTGGGGGGGGGGGGCGCTTTTTTGTCTTAAAAATCGCAAGAATGTGTACTAAATGTGTGATAACGTTACTAACACTTAGATAAGCGTCCAATTGTATTAAAGTGTATTGTGTAACAATAACGTAAGAAAGCGCGTGGTGGGGGAGCAGTGGCGTAGCTAGGATTTTCGGGCCCCTATGCAAAAATTATCAGTGGGCCCCTTCGTGAGCAGTGTTTCTTCCAGTTTTTTTTTCTTCTGTGGGGGGGGGGCATTTGAAATTTTCAGTGAGGGGGGGGGGGGCGTACATTGTTAAAAGTATAGGTTTTTATATAAATTCCATTTCGTTCGGGGCGGGAGAGGGGGGGGGGGGCGGTAGACTTTCTTTGGGGCTCGCTCCCCCCACCCCCTCCCCCAAAAAAGATGCCTGGGAGAAACTATGTTCGTCAGCCGTTAGGCTACAACGGAGTGAAACGAAGAAATCAACTGCTTCTTCCGATGTAGGGTTTTAAATCATATAAATATACCGTACATTTTATACCTCCTAGTTGTTTATTTATGCTATATTATTATGTAGGCCTACAACCCCGTAGTTTTGTAAAAATGTTACAGGCTGACAGTTTGTTTTTGTTTTTCAACGACCCAAACACATAGGGTCACAACACTGGGGCAGAGGTGCGGCTAACAACAATAAGTCGTGACACCCTGACGAAACATTTTAAAATTTACGTTAAAAATTCTGTTGTATCCAGCTAAAATAATAAAAAAGTCAGAGAGGGTGACACCCCACCGAAAATGCAAAGTTGTTAGGGACGATTGGGTGACATCTTTAGTAAACGCGTTAAGGAAGACCCGACATTGTGACGCTACAATCACTTTTTTTTAAACTGCTCATAACTTATTTAGATTTTTTTTCTCATGTTTTTAATTATGAAAAAAATGATTAATAAGTTCTTTGAGATCTTTTTATATCTGCTTCTCTATGTTAGATACTTAGGATAGCTTCTGACCCAATGGGCATATCTACAATTTGTTTCATCACGAATAACAGCATCATAATGAACAAATAATGTGTTTAAAAAATGCCATCATATACATCAAAATCTCCTTCCTGATCACAGTGGAATGTTAAAGAATGTTTATCTGTATCAAGCATATCCATCCGCGTTACTGCGATCTAGTCCCACATACCAGTGTAATGAAACAGTTTGTACGGGTTTCATCAACGCGTTGCCAATGGTGTATTTGTAGTCGTGTGTCATTGTTTTCTAAAACTGAGATAGTTAAAAGGCAAACAACGCTACTGTTTCTTTTTCTGATCTTTGTTGCTGGGGCGCGGGTTCGTCCAAACTACCGGTCAGACGCCCTTGGGCGTGCTGTATGAAAGCATTGAGTGTACGTTAATCATTCTCCGTTATAGTGAGGGCTTACTGCCGGGGCGCCGCCATGAATAAAATGAAATATAATGCTAGAAACCTTCCCCAGAGTTTCTTTCAGGCATGTTTTCAGAAAAATTTCTGGCGAAAAAACACTGCCTGGAGTATTCCCAAATTTTATCAGCAATTGGATGAAAACCAAAAACTTATAGGGTTAGTAGCGCCATATGGGCCATGTTCGCCCCCCCCCCTCCCCACACACACACACTGAATGCCAATGCCTGTTCAGTAAGAAAGGGTGGGGGGGGGCCTTTTTGGAACTTTAAATTATTTCTACAGCAGAAAAAAAAAAGAATTTCCTTTTTTCTTTTTTAAAACTATTTACTTAATACAAATATAAAAGTGAAAATAAAAGTGTTCGTTTTTTTCAAGCGGGAAAATGGCCCCTATTTGCCTGGGGCCCCTTTGCTTAAGCTAGCTTTACGGTAGCTACGCCACTGGATGTTACCCAGACGCCTACACAATGAGCGTGGGTTTAGAAAGAAGGGATAAAACGTGTAGCACGCATTAGTCTCGGGTGTAGTGTTTGGCAGTAGAAGTGGACACCAGCTTGCTAGGGTAAGACGTTTACTTCAACTTTATTTGTTATTTTAAAAACTCCGATATTTTTTATTTTTATGTTTGTTATTTAATTATTCACCTTTTAAAGAGCAGGATTTTGAAATATCTCAGTCGTATTTACATTGTATATATCGGTCGTGCTGCTTAAAATATCTATATTATTATTTTTTAATCCTTCATTTAATTCAGCTCAAGTTACAAGCAAATAACTACTCGACATACTAACACCTCCCCACTGCCTGAAAAAAACACAATATACTTTTACATAAATTATCGTAATCGTGCAAAAAAAATATCGTTTTTTACACCTCCCTGCGTCGGAAAAACACAGTTTTGCAATCTTGTCCGTATGTCTGTGTGTGATTTTGTGTGTGTGTCTGTAAACACGATAACTTGAGTACCGTTATAGCTAGGTAGATGAAATTTCATTTATAAGTATTATATAAAATTTGTAGATCAGTATCAACTTTTAGCGATTTTCGATAAGCGGAGGTGGAACTTTTTCTACTTTCAATTTTTCAAAAAGCCTGTAACTTGAGTACTATTTCAGATAGATAAATGAAATTTCAAATATAAGTAAGTTAAAAATAGAATAGAATCTCGTAGAAAAAAAGAATTGCAAACCAAGTGGATGCAAAACAGTTTATTTTTCATATAAACGATTAATAACAAGCTTTTATGTAATAATGCACTAAAAAGTAGAAAAAAAAATAAAAACTACTTTTTTAAAATTGCTATAAAGAAAAGCGTGAGTCACTTTAGTATCTATTGGACACCTTTACTGATATTTAGTAAGTAAGAGACCCACGCTTTTTCTTTATAGTAATTTAAATAGTAGTGTTTAATTTATTTTCTACCTTTAGTGCATTATTACATAAAATCTTGTTATAAAAACTTTTTTATGATTTTTTTTTGGTATTTTACATGTTTTTTATATTAGAGAAGCATGACTAAAAACCTTTGCACACACATTGAACGTGATGACGCGTTTATAATAGCGCGGAATAGTTGGGTAATATTGTCTACTAATTCGGACATGATTTTTATTAATTCATAAAAAATTAACTAGGCAACCAATTTGTCATACTTAATTGTCTTCATGTCTTAACCCAAGTACCAACTACGAACCGTATATGTCAGGTAGAAGTGCCTGCAATTTCGCTCGGGCGTTTTGATCTAGACAGACAGACTGACGACAGAGGAGGCAAGTTAAATAAAAGCTTGTAAACATAGTGCGGAATATTGTTAGTACTTTATAATTTAAATTACTACTTCCAGAACGGAAATTACTCTAACTTTGATAGAAGTTAGGAAGTAATAAACCGGGAGTGATCTCCCATAAAACTACAAGGGATGACAACTCAGGACATAGACAATATTTGTAATCCATTTTTAATTACTTAAACTTTTTATAATAGAATAGAATCTCTACGATTTTGATAAAATACTTATATATGAAATTTCATCAACCTAGCTGTAACGGTACTCAAGTTATCGTTTTTACACACATACAGACAGACACACACACAGACAGACACACAGACATACGGACAAGATTGTAAAATTATGTTTTTTTCCGTATCAGTGAGGTGTAAAACGTAAAAAAAATCTCAATTTTTTTCGCACGATTACAAGACTTTCTCTATACTTCGTATATACGACAAAGTAAAAAGTACTAATAATATTCCGCACTATTATACACATTTTGTTTTGCGTTCAATTGGTGTGCAATTCTTTTTTCTACGAGATTCTATTCTATTCTATTTTTAAAAGTTTAAGTATTTAAAATGGATTTAAAATCATGTCTATATCCCGAGTTAACATCCCCTCTTGTTTTATATAAGAATATTCGAGAAAGTTCAGGGGTGATAACTCACGGTTTATTTTCTCTCTCCACAGAACATTGAATTGTCTCTTTGTGTCACATTTGCATTTGCAGGTTTTAAAATGTAAATATTGTTTTATATTAGGTATAAATATGTTATCTTAAAGGAATGAATTTTTATGTCAGAAAAAAGTATTACTATTGTAAATTTGTATCAGTCCTCACAAGCCGGTGGTGAAAACTGCATACTGATGCAAATATGGCAAGACAAACTGACCCTGTACATACATGTCTAAGGCAAAAAAATGTTTTATTTTTATATTTTACAAAAATGAAAGAAATATAAAGACATTTCATGTGATATTTCTACTTACTAATAATATTAACTCAATAAATACACATGTTTACAGTTTTTAGCGCAATTTCCATACAGGGGGATTGCGATTATTAACTCGTCATTGATGGATGGGTGGATGGATGGATGGATGGATGGATGGATGGATGGATGGATGGATGGATGGATGGATGGATGGATGGATGGATGGATGGATGGATGGATGGATGGATGGATGGATGGATGGATGGATGGATGGATGGATGGATGGATGGATGGATGGATGGATGGATGGATGGATGGATGGATGGATGGATGGATGGATGGATGGATGGATGGATGGATGGATGGATGGATGGATGGATGGATGGATGGATGGATGGATGGATGGATGGATGGATGGATGGATGGATGGATGGATGGATGGATGGATGGATGGATGGATGGATGGATGGATGGATGGATGGATGGATGGATGGATGGATGGATGGATGGATGGATGGATGGATGGATGGATGGATGGATGGATGGATGGATGGATGGATGGATGGATGGATGGATGGATGGATGGATGGATGGATGGATGGATGGATGGATGGATGGATGGATGGATGGATGGACGGATGGACGGATGGACGGATGGACGGATGGACGGATGGACGGATGGACGGATGGACGGACGGACGGACGGACGGACGGACGGACGGACGGACGGACGGACGGACGGACGGACGGACGGACGGACGGACGGACGGACGGACGGACGGATGGATGGATGGATGGATGGATGGATGGATGGATGGATGGATGGATGGATGGATGGATGGATGGATGGATGGATGGATGGATGGATGGATGTCCGCAGCGTGTCCGCAGCTTTAAGTCGTATCTCCTCCTCAACAAAGCAATATCAAGGACTAGTTCCAAAGCAAATATGTTAAGCAAGTTCCGAGGATGAACATAGGCTAAAAAAATCCCGGAATTCCTTCCTGGATTTCCCGGAAAAGCCAAAAAACCTCCAAAAAATGCAGTTTTTGGCCCATGTATCGGCAACCAGACCACTTAGCGACTTGAAACATTTACCAATCGATTCCTGCTGTAATTTAGAACAATATTGTCGAAGAAAGTATTCAAAAATATCCTTTCGTTCGGTCACAAAAATTTAATTAAGAATTTTAAAACTGAGCATCGTGTAGGCCTAGGATGATATTTTTAATTTAAACTGAGCATCGTGTAGGTTTTTAGCGCAAAGCGCTGAGGTTCGATAGGATTTTACCATAGCAAATGAGCGAAGGTTCGAAAGGATTTTTACGTAGGTCTATGATCTCTAAAAAAATTAATTAAGGAAATTGCGCTTAAATTGTCACTAGACTTTTTATTAACTTGTTTTGTTTAAAGATACTTTGGTGCGGTCTCAGAAAAAAAGGCTGATGCAATATTTCAAGAGGATTTCACCAAAGAGTTACTGTTACATTACTTAAATACAGATCTCCGAGTTAACCTTGTCACTTTATTATTATATATAGACAGCTAGACGACTCGTCTTCACCCTGGCTATATCTTTATTTAACTGCTGCACATGTGCACATCAGCTACGCAGCACGGTAAACACACTGAATACTTTAGGAACGTAACCATGATATCCTAATATATGAAACCCCATGTGCGCACTTCTCTCTATCCACAATATATTTGGCAACGTCGTCAGCATGTTTAGCGATAAATGGAGAACTTAAAGATACGGACTTTTGTTGAAATAATATGGTGGATGTTATAATGTATAAATAAAATTTTAATTAAAGAAGTGAAAAAAATAAAGGCATATTTGAATGTAAAAATAGATTTCTAACCAAAGCGTTTATTGTCGTGACAAGAACGCAATAAACAATGACGTCAAATGACACATGATTAAACTAAGTATAAGAAAATAAGACAAAACTAATGGCGTTCATCTTCCTATTTTAGTCTACAAAGAAATAAACTATTTCATTCAAATTTGTTTTGGATCTACGTACGCTATGAATTGAATACAATTTTCTCGGCATAAATTATAAAATTTACTTTACCGATTTGGTTTCTAGATCTATATAGAGATACTAGATGTATACCTAGATCTACGGAAAAACTAGACTTAGGTACTAGTTCTATATATAGACTCTATATAGATCTAGAATCTATTCCAGAAATACATTTCTATGCTAAACTATTTCATGCCTTAATTATTTTATAGAAATCTTTGTTTGTTTAGATATGGAATTGGCTTATTTGGGATAATTTGAAATAATAGGGCATTTTCGCATAAGTTGAGTTTCTTAAGTACCTCTTTTATTCTGAATACAAGTTAAAGTGCCTAAATAGCTGAAATGATAGTGTTATTGACACAATGCGGGATGTACGGGTTAGAGACGTCAACTTATTTTTTTCAATTTGTTTTTTTAGATGTGAATAATAAAGTTGCCTCTCGGGACGTGGCGGTACACGGGGCAGGTGAAGTAGAGTTCACCTGTTTCTTTATTCTCAGCACATGAATTGATAGTGTGGTCAGACCCATGCTCAATCGAAACAGGTGTTTTTAAAAGACAAAAACAACATTTTTGAATTGTGTTGTCTAATAATGAATACAATTTGGTTTTAATTTTTCTGATAGATATTGGTAGTTTACATTACTTTAAACTAGTATAAACATAGACTGTACATAAAACAAAACCCCTTATTTTTCATAATCTTAACAATTTTTCATTCAAACGTTCTTGGTCAATAAAATGTTTCTTTTCCTAAGTTTCCGATTATGACGTTTTTAATAGCTGATGTACAATTCATTTCGTTACCCACTACCGTTTCTTCCCCTATCACCTCCGAACGAAATTGAAAAAAGTAATTCATTACAAATATAGAGAAAGTAGTATCAGATTTTAATGCCGCTCCCCGAGAAAAATATCTAAATATCTAGCCTATTTGTAAAGAGAAGAGAGCTAAAAGTCACCATAATTGTAAGGGGCACCGATGGCTATTGCACAATAAGAGACGAAATAATCACTAACACGATATAACGTAACTGTTACAAATTCTGTATTTTGAGCCACGTGACCTTATTTTCTACAAACTCGTTTATTTTAAAGGAAAAAAAAACACTTCATGAGCAGTGGCGTAGCTAGGATTTTTGGCCCCTATGAAAAAGTGTTAGTGGGCCCCTCAGAGGCGTATTGACCCTTTCCGGCGAACGGGGACAAACTTTCTATTAGCACCTCCCCCCCCCCCCCCCCCCCCACAGACTTTCGGTTTGCAACCCCCCCCCCCCCCTCAAACGTTTGAAAAAGGGCCCCTATTTGCTTTGGGCCCCTATGCATTGCTTACGCTAGCTTTACGGTAGCTACGCCACTGTTCATGAGTACTAGTTGTCGAGGCAAGGGTTTGTCTACATTACCACCTATATGCCCCAGGATGGCTGTGTAAGCTAATTATCCTCAGTTATAGTGATGTAGAACACACTTCAGCGACCGTCCAAGTGTCAGTGACTTAACGGGGTGCTTTCTGGGCCACTACAGCAGGGGCGCCGGGTATCGCCCATGACTCGGTTTGAACATCGCAAACACACATACACATACACATACACACGCACACGCACACACACATACGCATACGCATACGCATGCACATGCACATGCACATGTACATGCACATGCACATGCACATGCACATGCACATACACATACACATACACATACACATACACATACACTTACACATACAAATACACATACACATACACAAACACATACACATACACATACACATACACATACACATACACATACACAAACACATGCACATACACATACACATACACATACACATACACATACACATACACATACACATACACATACACATACACATACACATACACATACACATACACATACACATACACATACACATACACATACACATACACATACACATACACATACACATACACATACACATACACATACACATACACATACACATACACATACACATACACATACACATACACATACACATACACATACACATACACATACACATACACATACACATACACATACACATACACATACACATACACATACACATACACATACACATACACATACACATACACATACACATACACATACACATACACATACACATACACATACACATACACATACACATACACATACACATACACATACACATACACATACACATACACATACACATACACATACACATACACATACACATACACATACACATACACATACACATACACATACACATACACATACACATACACATACACATACACATACACATACATCGCTGAACATATCTTTAGTTTATACATTTATGACATCACCATGTTATTTTCAACAAAAGTTGGTATCTTTAAGTTATCCATATATCGCTGAACATACAAATCACATCGATTAAAAATAAACTTTCGGACAGAGAGAGAGAGAGAGAGATAGAGAGAAAGAGAGGTGTTCACATGGGTTTTTATATATTAGGATGCATAGTGCTAGTTTTTTTATTGATCCCAATAATCTGTAACTGCTTGCTGTTGATAACTCCCATCAACGCTACTAATAGCGTGCGCTACTGTAGGACATCGATTGGCGGAGTTTCTTACTTGACTATTTTAGGAAGGGTTTGAGACGACACTCGGAGAGATCAATAGCTGGAGTAGGTAGTCGGTGCGGGGCGTCTCTGTAAGCTGGTGGCAGGCAACGGGATGTCTGTAGACTTAGATTAGATTTGACTAGGGACTTTACTTTCTAGTTGTAGATAGCAGTATTTTCTGATTGTTTTCCATTTGATGGCGGGTTAGCGTTAATTGTTGTATTCCTATTCTTGTATTAAATAGCAGAAATAGTTACTAATTTTGTTAATTTATTAGTAGTTTTTGTTCTTGTTTATGATTTACCGCCTATATAAAAATGGTTAGAGAATGGGGTGGGGGGGTTGACGCTCACCCTTACCCGAAAACCTGAATACGCCTGTCGTATTTGAACTCACTATTTCAAACCGTGATTAACGTACAGTTTAAGTTTTACTTCAACTCTTCCCCCCCCTTCCCAATGTCACTCACTTCAAAAATTAAGAACAAATAAATATTTAACATCACATTACATTAATGAACATAAACGTCTAAAAGTAACCTACTTTGCGTCATTTTTAGCAGTACCAGATCGCAGCAACCTGCGACGGTTAAGATAGTTTAAATAATGTTAGAAAAATCTGCTGTATTCTTGTCAAAAGCTAGTGAAGTTTTATTTGCAGATTTGCAAACTAAAATTGACGAGGATGTGGATTGCACAATTATCTCAACTAGTGGTGTCAGTTTTGGTGCTTTTCATCATCAACTCTCCTGGGGCAGTAGGTGAGTTCGCTTCTCTATAGATATATTGTAAAATGTAACGGAACAATAAAACAACTATTAAAATGCTAAAAATATTGAGCCTTTAAATGCACAGAAAAACTATGTAGAAAACGAAAAATTATCAGCTGCTGGTTAGGGAACTTGACGGTGTTAAAGGCGCTTACAATTTTGCAGGGGAGTACACCACAAAATTGCTGATCGGCAACAAAGTTAATGTTAGTGACAAGCGCTTCATATGAGCAATATATATGAAGGCCTTAGTGCTAAAAGTACTAAAGTCACACAAACAGCATTTTGAGATAAATGAGTTCAAAATTTAATTTACTGTAAAACATAACGGTTTATATTATATGTTTATTCAAAAGAGCAACTTATTTTTTTTTCCAGTATTGTTATTTCTATTTAAGATAAAGCTAAATTACAGAAGTAACGAACATTGCTTGGTTTGATTTTCACAAAAATTTGACTTAAGTAATTTTAGCACTAGGCTCTTCATATATAAACTTCTGATAACTCCTGAGTTCATAGGACGACACCCCTGGGTAATAAAAAAAGCAGTGTTCCGATCGGGAACCTTGCAAGGCCGATAAAAGCGACCCATTTTCTTATATAAATTGTTATGAAAAAACAGAGGCGAATTTTTTAAAAAGTTATTAGAGTATTTAGGCTCTGTAAAGCCGGCTAAAAAAAACATTAACCTCGGTAATTCACTCGGCGATATAGGATAACTGTCGGTCGGATTCTAAGCAGAGGTAAAACAGATTGTTATAAGTATCAGTATTTGCTTTTTTAAACATTGTAATTTTTTGGAAAAGAATCTGAACAATAATGATTTTATTTTCTTACTATGTGTAAGATAAGTAATTGTTTTAAAGTTGTAATTTTTAAAATAAATTTCTTTTTTGAGACAAAAAAATGACGATTTATATAGTTCGTTAGATTAAAAACTTTAATCTAATATTTTTTTTCAGTAATAATAATTTATTTGATAGATTTTACTCAGCATCAAAGACATGAACAATGAACATCAGTTGCATATATAATAATAAAAGGGAGAAAATAAAATGGCATAAGAACTAAACTAAAATAAGGTGTGCAAATTAGGTTTCTCTTGACTGCATAGTTTACTGTGCTTAGTCCTTAGCTGCGGAGTCAAAAGTTCAGATTGTAGCTACCCATGGACAGAAATAGAAACGACCGTAAGAGAAGTGTCTCTGTAATACACAAACTGATCTTTCATTTCAAAACTTTCCATGACATAAAATTGACCCTTGACAATGAGGGCACGCTACCTTGAAATATCTGCCAGTCCGGTTGAGTTGGGGGAAGTGTGTTTGTGTGTGTGTGTTGGTGGGGGGGTTGAGGTTTGTATCTCTTTCTACCATTCAGGTTGTGCACTTTAAAAACCTGGGAAACAGAAGACTGTTCTAATATTAATTTACTTGGGGATGATCGAGTGATGTTTGGCTGGCTTGAGACTGTCTAAATTAAAATTAATACTTTATTTATTTCTGTCCTGAACACCTTAAACCTAAATAAAACTCATTTCTGTTTGTAGCGGACAGCCGTCGGATCCGTGACAAGCATTGCATTTAGTAAAAAATTCTGCTTGATAACGATAGTGTAATATTTTTATAGCGTTTGTTTTACAAATAAATAAATAAAATAAAAAAGTAAAAAAAAACCATTCGTTTCCTAATTTTAACTAACGTCAAATCATATAAACAATGTAACAAAAAATGTATCGTCCTTTACAATAGTAAAAATTATTTCAGGTTGTTCCTTTATTGCTAATTACTTCTCTTGATGGTTCATGGAAACACAGTTACTTTCCTTTAAAAAAAAAACATTACATCGGTGATGAACATTTTTACAAGCTTTTATTTAACTTACTTCCTCTGTCTGTCTGTCTAGACGGAAACGCAGGAGTGAAAATTCGGACAGTTCTACTTGATCGATACGATTCAAAGTTAGCACGTGGGTCAAGACATGAAGACAATGCAATCTGAAACTAAATTTGGCTTAATTGGATGCCTAACTAATTTTTTATGAATTAATAAAAATTTGGACCGAATTAGTAGGCATGTCTAGCCAACCACACCACACGCGTCATCACCTTCAATAGCTGCGCCATCACGTAATGGCTGCGTTCAAAAACCATTGCGCGCCTACTGAACGTGATGTTCAGTAGGCGCGCAATGGTTTTTAGTCATGTAACTCTATTGTAAATAAAACATGTAAAGTACTGAAAAAAAAATTCATAAAAAACGTTTTAATAACAAGCTTTTATGTAATGATGCACTAAAAAGTAGAAAATAAATTATAGACTACTATTTAAATAACTATAAAGAAAAGCGTGGGTGTTTTCCTTAACATTAGTAAAGGTATCCAATAGATACTAAAGTGACCCACGCTTTTCTTTATAGTTATTTAAATAGTAGTCTATAATTTATTTTCTACTTTTTAGTGCATCATTACATAAAAGCTTGTTATTAAAACGTTTTTTATGAATTTTTTTTGGATTAGTTTGATTTGATGTTGGAAAAAAAATATATAATTAGCATGAATTGATAAAGTGCAATATAGTAGGTAAAACACGGATATTTTAAATACTTTTATTTATTTTATACACTGAGCGTACTGTTTATTAATTATTATTTTTAATCAATAACAGCTTAGAGGCCGCTCCGAAATGTCCTCTATGTTTAATTCTATCTATCGGCTTACGGACAAGCTGGGGGTATTAGAGTCGTTCACTAAATTGAATCAAGTGCATCCGCCGGCGCCCCTAGATGTGGAGGACTTGGCTATCATGTATGCGCTATGGTGCATACACTCGATTTAAACAGTGCGATAGACTATGGATATAAAGGTTACTATAGTAAGTTTCCTTTTAAACCTGACAGTCTATGTGGCAAGTGAAGTAGAATTCACCTGTTTCAGTATCCTCGGCATATGAAGAGATAGAGTGGTCAGCACTATGCCCAGCCGCCTTTACTTTCCCTAACGTGAGTTAGGTACTCATCAGAGATGTGTGGACTCAGGGACGGTCTATTGACTTGAAATAAATAAAATCTTAGGCGTCTCCCAGTGCCCCGACATGTGGCTATTTGGCGCAACAGGGTTTTTTTCCGTGAGCGCTAGGACGCCTACGTTCAGTTTAGTGAGTTCAATAGATTATGGGAAAGCTGGGGTATTATAGTCGTTTACTAAGTTAAATCAGGCAGCTCCGCCAGCGCCCCGGCAGGATGTAATTTGGCGCCCTTGCTATAACAAGACCACTATGCTTTTATGTTTGCATTTCAATTTGTGTTTGTGTTCTGCGTTATTGTTTCCGTTTTGGTTTATGTTTGTTTTTGAGTTTGTATTTGAGTTTACATGTTGCTTGTGTTTATGTTTGCGTTTGTTTTTACTTTACTTTTGTATTTGGGTTTGTGTTATTATTACTGTTTGTCTTTGTTTTTGTTTGCGTTTGTGTTTGCTTTTGTGTTTGTGTTTTGGTTGGTTTTGGATAGTTTAAAATTCAAAGTTAGAGTTGGGTTTAAGGTTATGTGTTCTTTTGTCAAACGTCCATGATGGTTAATAAACACACGTTTTGGTCCTTTCATATATGATTTTCACAGAGGGCAGTGCATGGTCTAGTCGAGACGGCTACTGTTAATATAAAATGAAAAAAATGCTGCTTGAACTTGTACTGTACAACTTGTCACATATCATCTAATCAACAATTTATTAAATACTAAAATTATCAGATTTAACTTAAAGTAAAATTAAATGTTATGTATTAAGTAGGTATAAACAAAACTTTTTTTACGGAATTAAAGTAGGCCAACATGTCAGAAAAAGTAGATCTATTGTATTATAATTTTAAATATTTATTAGTCTTTACAAGCAGATTACTACATGACTGCTTATGTAGAAGTTAAGATTTTGTTCATAATTTTTTTCGCAAACCTAAGCAAAGCTTTGCAAAATGCCTAGTAAGAAAAATAAAACAAACCTACTTTGTTTAGTAAAGGCATCAGTGTCTTGTGTATATAGGATTACACATGCATTTTGTATGGTAATGCTTTATATACGTGTCTGCTGTTCGGCTGAATATGGTTTGGGTATTTGATTGTTAGTGTTTTTTGCTAGAGAGGTCGTTGACTGGAGAGGTGTGTTAGGGTTTGCAGTTGCAACACTATATCTAATTATCCAAAACAATCGCATCTTCGGTAGTCTGCATTAAAAAAAAAACAATACATAATTGCCTACAATACACATTCTTATTTAGTTATTTTGATAGACGCTGCATTGCTTTCAAAGAAAGAAAACTAATAAATCCAAATTTTAATTTATTCAGCAACCAACTTTATATTTACAGGTTCAGATCTGTGGGACGGCGGTAAAGTAGTGGATGGAAAATGTTTTCTGTTGGTAAGAGAGCCAGCTACATGGAACAGTGCCTTGGTAAGTTAACGTCTTTAAAATTAAGTGCCTTAATGCAGCTCGTTCCTATGCATACACAATAGTTAGCTAAATCTATCTGTTTTATAACTAACTACATTAATATATCACATTATATAAGCCATATTGATCATTTCTCTAAGTATTTACAATAAATTCTGACTCTACACATTTATGACGCGAATATTTTTATAGCATAACGGATAAAAAGTAACTTCGCTCCCTAAACTTTCTCGTATATTTGTGTATATAAGCAATATTGTAAATGGCACTTGCAGTGGAATCGAGCAAACGAAAAATAGAAGTGATAGGGCAAGAGTTCTGAGAATTTGTTTTTTTTTTATAATATGCTTTCAAATGACCAAATTCCTCTGTTATTAGGAAACAAAAAATATAGTAAGATTCCAATTCCGTTAACTGGTAATCGCACTGGCACTTGTGAATAAAAATATCCACCACTTAATTCAAACGATACACACCGTATAATGTTCACCTGGAAATAAAGTTATTTACCGGAAAAAAAGTTAGAAACCTACCATCAGATATCACAATTATATTTAAAATTATGTCCGCCTAACTAAAACAATACTTTAGTGACTGTATTCACACTCACAATGATAGAGATACATTCAGACAAGATTGCAAACATGGCTTGACTTATTTTTTATTTCAGTGAGTACGCAAACAAGATAAAATGAGTATCGTTTCATTTAAATTCAGGAGCGTTGATTTATAAGTTCTGGATACTATCCACTGATTTCTTTCAGCTTTTGAGAGATTTCCATTAACCGCAAGTTAAAAAAAAAAGACATTTTGAATATAATTCAAACCTAATTGTCAAAAAGCAACACATTGTTTCTCAAAAAACAGCGGATTTTTTTAATCCAAAACGTTTTTTTGTAGTCAGATTTAACTGACAAATTTTAGAGAACTCAACCTTGCTTTATGTTGTTACTTTTGTCTTTTCAATATAGATTTGTACAAAGTACACGTTAACTATTCTACAATAAAAATCTTATTCTAACAGTCAGCATGTCAAAACATGGGGGGTACTCTTGCAACGATTACATCATTAACACAGTTGGCGGCGCTAAGAGCAGCGCTTAATATTTATGGTATGTTTAAGCTTTTTCTTTAAAACCATCTATGTAACCCTTCGCTGTGATTACAAAAAATGCCCTGAAAATGATGCCTTCAAATTATATATATATATATATATATATATATATATATATATATATATATATATATATATATATATATATATATATATATATATATATATATATATATATATATATATATATAAATTTCACTTAATATAATCCAGCATATAATTACAAACAAGTCATCAACATATGAAACAAATAAAAATTGATAAATGCTAAAGTAAGTAAATGCTTTCACTAAAAATGAACTTATTAATATCTTGACTAAAGACAGCGAATTCTGGATTGGTGCAAATGATCTAACGACTGAGGGAACCTTTGTTTGGACTGAAGATCTGAGCTCGGCTAGTGTGATATATAGTTGGTGGACATCTGGTGCTCCGTTCACAGGGGACGGAAACGTATGGTCCTGCGTCGTTATTAATTTGAGTGACCAGGTGTACGACCAACTATGCAATAGTTACACAACGTTCTACGTGTGCATGGAACCAAGTATGTTAAATCTCTTTTTTAATTGTTATTCATTTGGCTATGTCACATTTTATTTCATATTAAGTTCCCCAAACAGTTAGGTTGAAATTTGTGGAATTTGTTGTACCTTGAGGCAAATACCTAGGCAAGCACAAAATGCAATGCAATTTGCTAATAACTGTGTTAATGCGCCAATCAGTAACATTAGTATTTAATTTGTTTAACTGTGTTTCAACGTGACAGTAACAACTATAGTTTAAATACACAAAACACACTATCTCTTTCAACCATAAAGACACTAAGAACCAGTAATTTTTAAGAATGTAGTAAATATTTAAATAAACTAAAATATGGTCGTTGAATTAGTAAATGTCTTTCGATAATACGTAACACAGATGTCATTCACATTTAAAATGTTTTCGCTTTCTAAAACTCTATTAACTTACATATTGTTAGATTCACGTACTACAAAATGTATTGCTCCAACAACAACAGAGGATGTTACCACGGCAACAACTGGTTGGTTTCTTAAATTTACAATAACTAATTATCTGTCCAATGCAATGCTTATTTATAAAATCAAAAAACTTGTATTGTGGAAATGTTATAAAAATCGATTTAGAGCTGGGAAAAACATATACTTTTATTTTGTAAATTTACTCTCATATATCTTGCATCTTTACAATTAGATAACAAACTTGCATGGACTCCTTTAAACTTATCCAGAGACTAACGCACAGCCTAATGAGCAATTAATTAAACATTTCCTAGGCTGTATATTTAAAATGCATTATTGAACGCACTTTTAACCGGTTTTTGCTTATTTAGAAACAGATTAGTTTTTAGCTGTTTTTATTTTTTAATATTTGTTCCTATTCTATGTGTTTCATTTGATAGAGAACATTTTTACACTCAAGTGACATAACGCAACGGATATGAAAAATGTCGAAAATGAAAAAAAACAACTTAGAAGTAAATGTTATTCTATAAATGTGTGAACTAGTCTAGTTATCAACTTTAAATTAACATTACATCTTTTTCTTTCAGGAACTACAACACTCTCTGCTACTACTACGTCATTTGAAACTACTATGGGTATGTTTTTAAAACTTGGGCAGTGAATAATTGTTTAGGACGGCAGGATGTATCTTTCTAGATGAAATTATAAACGTTTAAATTCTTACAGCATTTGAAAAATATTCTTGTTTCAGAAACCACAGAACACCTTCCTACTACGATGACGACTGGAACCACAAAAACTACAAGTACGTTCATACTTTACCGTATACATGGTATGGAGGAAGTATTGTAATCGTGCACAAAAATCACGTGAAATTTTGAGTCTTCGCAGTTTTACACCTTAGTACTGTATCATATACGGAGTAAAAGGGACTTAATGCAATTGGGTATAAATTATAAATCCAGATTTAACAAAATTTTGGCGTTTTACGCATAATCAAGTCGAAAAAACTGGGTTTTGCAATTCTGTCTATGTGTGTTAACGTATGTGTGTATGTCTGTGAACACCATTACTTGAGTACCGTTACAGAGAGGTTCATAAATTTTATACATAAGTATTACATCAAATTTAGAGTTTTGTATCAACTTTTCGGCGATTTCAGATAAATGGAAGTGCGACTCATTCTACTATTAGTTTTTAAAAGCCTATAACTTTAGTTCTGGTTCAAATAGATAAACGATCTTTTACATATAAGTAAAATATCAAATTTTCTGCAATCTGTCGAATTTTTTGTAATGTCTTTGACCGGAATTGGTAAATTACTCTATTTTCGATTTCTGAAAATACACACATGAATTTAGAAAGTACTAACAATATTTCTCACTTTTTGCACAAACACTTTGCCGTTTACTTGGTGCGCAATTCTTGTTTTTACGGGATTCTATTCTATTTTTTAAAGTTTAAGTAATTAAAAAATAGATTTTAAATCATGTCTTTATCCGGAGTTGCTATCCCCCGTAGTGTTATATAAGAATATTCGAGAAAGTTTAGGGGAGACCACAGCCGGTTTGTTTCAAATCCATCTTAGTGATAATTTAATTAAAATGTCATATCTTGCTATTGAATTGTTGCACACATTTTATTCTTAAAATTTTTATTTATTTTTAGGGCGAAAATGCCATAGAGGCTAAAAACAGGAAGTTTTAACAGTCGTAAGTTCCTTTGTATTTATTTACTTAGTGACTTTTAAAACATGCTCCAATTTAAGACTATAAGAGGTCTATTTTAAAACGACGTCACACACCTTGGGTAGAAGGAAATTAAACTTGTGTGACCATGTTTGTTTAGGAGGGATGGGTTGATGGCTTTTAAAAAAAATGTGACTGTATAGACAACGTTTGCATTGTAATGTTTCAAACTGAATATTTTTTTTATACATTTGAATTAATTTTAATTGTTCTTATGTATGCAACTAGTAGAATCGTTAAATGTAAACCTTGAGATTATGCTTATGCTGTTGTGTAGCTATTAGACAGACGAAAAATATGTTCAAATTTTTAATTGTAATAGAATATACGTTTAATTTTAAGTAAATCAAATTTCATTTTTGTTTAATATAGTTTGGTTCTTCATTTTATTCCAGATAGCCTGACCTGTTATCAATCCTTGGAACGCAGCACTTGCTAAAATAATCTACAAAATTCGCTAAATAATTTTAGAATTCGGAACTAAATTCTGCATTAAATTTCTAAGAAACAAAAAATCAATTCACAAAAAATAAAGTTTAAAGCTTTTTTGAAAATTATTATATTCTAATAAAAAATTCGAAGTGCACTATTAACTAGAGTTTATAATTTTTTTTATTGTTTAAAAAATTTCAACCAAATATATAATACTAAATAAAAAACCACAAGAAAGCAACGTAAACAACCATACAAACTTAGCGACCAATAGAGTACATTAACGCAAAATCACCATTTAACTTGACATTGGTATATACACGTATTATTATTTCGGTAAAGCTCATGGTTGCTAAACCGAAAAGTCTCGAGTTCGAATCATTGGGCAGATGACACCGTTCATTCGATAGCCATTAGACGTTGGGGATTTGATTATAACACAACCTGGAAGGTTTCTGCAAAAAATAATTTTTTTAGTTTGGATAGTTTTTGACATGATTATTTGAAACTCATAAGTTAACATCTCCAAAACGGGGTTAAAAATCTAGATGTATCCCAAACAAAAAAGTAGATGTTTTGAAAGATATCAGGCACATAAATTAATACAGCTTAGGTTGTAGTTACAACTGAGTAGACGTGGTGTATTTTGAAACATAGGCTATTATAAAGTGACAAGACTGGTAGACGCGTGGTAAGAAATCAGGTAGATGAATTTAGCGTCACCTTAGTACAGTGTAGACACATTGCAATCACATCTCGTGGTTCGGACCTAAAATAGACTTACATAACAAACACAATTAAAATATTGTCGCATGTGTATTCTAACCATGGCCAGATATGTCACAGTATCCTGTTGTTGTTTAAGGCACCACATACTGTTACATTGTAGGAAATCTATCAATTAGTGGTAACAGACACATAGGCCTACATTCTTCAGCTGAAACGCTTTTTTTAAAAAATATAAAACTAGCAGCACGTACTTGGCGCGTCTCTGAACGTGTCAAATATATGAAGTGTCCTGAGTTTTAAGTTTTACTTAAACCAGGTTAACGTGTATACTCCACAGAAGGGGTGGGTAATTAACGTGATTGTAATTCAACTGAGAGAGACGGGTAATACAAGTGTAATAATAGCCGGAGGTTAACTGACCCATGTACTAGACGCATACCTCGTCTCTATTTTTACGTTAACATAATGTAATGTATATGCTTGTCTATGGACAACGAGTAGGATTTAGTAGTATGCTACGGGCTGGCTACTGTTAATTATAATTACCTAACAAGCTGATTTTTATGAAACGCTGGTCGGAAATTTAATACTCTTCAAGGTGAAGAGGTAGATTCGATAAAAACATTACTCTGTCTGCACTAAGCTTTGTACCCATTAATAAACTGATCGTCGCGACATCGTTTAATGCCGTTTTCCTGGTGGTAAAGCAGGGTAAACTACAACCCATTGGGGAAACACTCATAACACCAGCTGTGTTGATGATGTGAAATATCATTCAGGAAAAGTAGCGGAAATTAAATTATTCCAAATTCCTCCTCAAAAGACATCAGCAAGAGACTAGAGGACACGAGCAAAGACGTCCTGGCTTAACTAGTCGCAGATCTTATTATAATTATAATTCTATTCAAAAATTATTCCATTTAAATTTTAACTGAAACAATTTTTACACAAACCTCGAGCAATGCTAACATAGATCTACACACCTCGAGTAGTGCTAAACATAGTTCTACACACCTCGAGTAGTGCTAAACATAGTTCTACACACCTCGAGTAGTGCTAAACAAAGTTCTACACACCTCGAGCAATGCTAAACACTGTTCTACACAACTCGAGCAGTGCTAAACATAGTTCTACACACCTCGAGTAGTGCTAAACATAGTTCTACACACCTCAAGTAGTGCTAAACAAAGTTTTACACACCTCGAGCTGTGCTAAACATAGTTCTACACACCTCGAGCTGTGCTAAACATAGTTCTACACACCTTGAGCTGTGCTTTACACAGATCGACACAGCTTGATTAGGTAATTAGTTAAGACCTTATCGATGCTAAATTTAGATGTTGCCTTAGGTTTAGTGATGAGATACAGATGCAAATTGCAGCTAGATATATATATATATACACACATACACACGTTGTATCACAGTGGAATGCGGTATTTAAAGATGCGTACTTGACATCCAATAATGAACAGTGCCATGCCAAAGAAAATCGAAGCAATCCTAACAATATACCTGACGAATCAGGTACACAATTTTACTATGCATATTCCTTTCCATACCGCTGACACCTAGAGAACAAAACGTGTTTACGTTTTGTTTAAAATTTCAGTTGTAAACATTAAAATGCATTCTTTTCTTTCAAAGAAACCAAACGATATAGGCCAGGGGTCGGCAACCTTTTGAGACGGAAGACCCAAATGTTACAATTTTCAAAATTTCCCAGTTTTTAAAGAGCCACATGTTTTTACAATATTTTATTATTTGATTAGGACTAGGTAAATAAATGTGATTTGTTATTTAAGATAAATAGTTTTGAATATGAAATAATATTTATTCATATAAAAACATACACATAATTCTCAAGAATAATAAACTTAGTTATCAAATAATATAACTATAGGACTATCCCAATCTACTTTAGAAGTTGTTAACTTTTTTTTCTCTCTTAACGGATATCACCGGCTCAAAAAGTGTCTGCCATTAGCTAGGCAAGCCTCAACACGACAAACTCCGACTAACTGGCTTGGGTATCGGTTTCGTAACAGTGTATCTGTCGCTTCTGTCCTTTGGCTATCACCAGGTGTAACTTCCACCCCACTGAACACAGGGTAAACTCCTACCCCAAAGTCCAGTACCCGGTTCATCAATAGGAAGCTAATAGCTAAAAAAAAACTACGTCACTCATGTCAAATTAATGATTACTGACACATATGGAAATGCATTCTAAATAAAAATAACATTCCCATTTAAAAACATTCGAAAAAGTCGGCACTTGGGCAGTGGCAAGCATGGGATTGTTGCCACAGGGCTGTCCGTATACTTTCTACTGCACATATTCTCAATGTTCTCTGATAATTGTTTTAATTCTGTTTAAAGTTGTTTTTCTTTACATTATGATATTTAATATGAGTTTTGAAAATGAAATAATATAACTATTAACATTTGTGCAAGGAGCATGAGAGCCGCATCTTGACAGTAAAAAAGCCGCATGTGGCTCGCGAGCCGCAGGTTGCCGAGCCCTGGTATAGGCACTTGAAACCGCGTACAATAACTTGTCTCCTTGTAGGCTACCCAGCTTGGCACTATTGTATTAATAGCCACTTGAAAACTAATTTTCTGTGAGGTTTAAACGACACGATTTGACGCTCATTGGTGCAACTATTTTGGTTTTTGTTTTTATTTATATTTGCTATAACGTTGACAAAACAAATTACGGCTCTGAAATTATTTAAGAAGAAAGACAATCATGAAGTTGTATTGCATTTTCATTGTTACTTCCCTTTGAACATGACACTTTGTTTTTGCAGAATTTATACGCGTAAACTAAAGGCCATAGCACCAATACTACATGACCAAAATTTAAAAAAAAACATTTATTCAGTTAACAAGATGATATATAATGTAACAAATTGTATACAATGAATGTCACTTTAATACAAAGGAGGTTATTATGTTCTATTGTTGAGTATAGAAAGATGTAGAAAGATGTAACAAGTTTTTAAAATGCACTCTGTTATATTGCTCGGTCAACATTGCGTTTTCAAACTGATACGACATTTGGGAGCCAGACGTTTTTCCGAAAGATATTTACCCAAATTCCGTTTGCCAGAAGGCCGATTGCCCGAAAAAAAAAAATGTTTCTGAACTCAAGTCTAAATCTACAAGTAGCTCTAATACATACGTAGTTAAAAGTTCCATATAGAAACCATTTTAGGAGGATAAAAATTAAATTACAATTCATTCTGAATTTGATTATGTTTATAACTTCTGGGACATCATTTTTCAGATATTCATGTAGCAGTTGTTTCATTATTCTCAACAATGACTTGTTTAAAGAATCAACTGATGTTCTTTAACATTTAAATACATGAATTATAAACAGCTTCTAACTACCCAGCGGTGTAGGTGAAATTTAGTACCAGCCACATAAAATAGTTTTACTTAGAGAGAAAAATTTAAAAAAAAACTACATAAGAATTTCGTACCTCAAAAAGATACTTTGGTATATACATATATATATATATATATATATATATATATATATATATATATATATATATATATATATATATATATATATATATATATATATATATATATATATATATATATATATATATATATATATATATATATATATATATATATATATATATATATATATATATATATATATATATATATATATATACATATATACATATATATATATACATATATGGTGACCAGAATGAAGCACAACGGAATAAAGCGCAAACAGAAACAAGCACACACAAAAAAGCGCTTTTTTCTGTTTGCGCTTTTTCCGTTTGCACTTATTTCTGTGTGCGCTTTTTTTGTTTTGCGTTTTTTTCGTTTTGCGCTTTTTTGTATTTGCGCTTTTTTCTGTGTGCGCTTTTTTCCGTTGCCCTTCATTCTGTAAACCAATTTTTATGTTTGGCGTACATGTTAAACGACATGTTTAGTTGTCTTAAATAAATGCTTTTATGATTAATTTTTCAACCGACAAGTCTCTCTCAACACATCAGCCTCTCTAAACAGACCAGCCTCTCTCAACATATCAGCGTTTCTCTCAAAAGACAAGCCTCTCTCGACATACCAGCCTCTCTCAACAGAATAGCATCTCTCAACATAATAGCATCTCTCAACAGACCAGCCTCTCTTAAGACACCAGTCCTATCACACAACAGACCAGCCTCTCTCAACAGACCAGCCTCTCTCAACAGACCAGCCTCTCTCAACAGACCAGCCTCTCTCAACAGACCAGCCTCTCTCAACAGACCAGCCTCTCTCAACAGACCAGCCTCTCTCAACATACCAGCCTCTCTCAACAGACCAGCCTCTCTCAACAGACCAGCCTCTCTCAACTCACAAGTCTTACTATACAAGACATCAGCATCTCTTTAAAAATATATGCG